AGGCATGTCTGACTTTAGTAGATGGTTTTGTGTTTACCTCTCAACATAAAACCCATTCGGCCTTTAAAGTTAACTGTGCAACAATTTCCACCCTTCCCCTATGCCGACGTTTTTCCTAGGATTTTCACCATTCCCGCATCCCGCTCCGCGAGGGAGACACAGGCACCCATGGTGTTGGCTTCATTTAATGACCCAGAGACAGGGATGCAGAAGGGGTCCCCATGTCCCTGACGGGGTGCCCGGGCTGAGGAGGGTCTCGCTTGGTGTGCAGGACGCGCGATGCTGTCCGCAGCACCCCCGGCCTCCTGCTGCCGCACGCCCTGCCCTGCCCAGCCCAGCTCGGCCCCTCCGCCGGGAGCTCCGCTTCCGCCCCAGGGAGACCTCCGCCGCTGCTCCGCGGCCCCCGCCTGCTCCTGCGCGGCCGCTTTTCCCCACTCCTCTCCGGCCGCGCTTCCCCTCCACGACTGATCGCGGAGCTGTTCCCCACACCTCCTGCTCTCCCTTACTTACTTTTAACAAATCACTACAAGCGCGTGGAGCAATCAATAGCTCTGGACGATGGCGTTTGACCTCCTTAGGGAGAGGAAAGAGCAATAACGCCAGCGCCGGCCCCAATTTTTCCCTCCCCGCACAGTCCCTGATCTGCGTCCCGCCTAGGTGTCGTCTGAGGCACACGGGACTGCAAAGAGGACCCCCGAGCCCCGCTCCAGCCCCGCTCTCCCCAGAAGGCTCCGGATGCACGGATGAGATTTCCAGCCGTGGGCACACACACGTCTCTGGCAGCTTCAGCGTAGCCCGGGCTGCACTGGAAGGTGTTTCTTCTTCTTTTGGAAAGAGCCCTTCTTTTTTTTTTCATTTTCTTTCTTTTTTTTTTTTTTTTTCCTTCTCCTCTCCCTCTCTCTTCTTTTTTTTTTTTTCTTTTTCCCTTCCTCGCATTGCAGGAAATGCTTTAAAATTGTCAAAAATAGCAACAGCTTAGAAAACTGCCGCAGTACCGGGAGTTCCCTGTTCACATTGCACACCAACCCGCCTCCCTGCCTGCCAGCAGCTGCTTCCCCCTTCTCGGTGCTTATAGCTTTCCCCAGGAGAACATCCCCTTCCCTGTACGGCACCGCAGAGCTGCTAGCCTCCCACCCGGCGAAAGGCCGGGAATTCCCTCCGACTTTGCCCTCTGTTCCGTCCCGGCTCCAGTTTGGGGCGCGGGATTACATCTTGCGCATTTCCCACCCTAACTGAGGTTTTTCCCTCGTGTCTGGGTGCTGGCGCTGGCCAGCCGAAGGCGAGAATGGCTGTTGCTATTGGGAATCAATGCGTGTCACCGTCCCAGTAGCGATGTTAGAGCTGTGAAAATCGGTTGCGGAGAAACCGGCTGACAAACCGGGACAAGGGCCTCTGGTGCAAGGAGCCCCGGCCATGCTCCCACTCGTCTCCTGAAACACTCCCTTGCTAGCTTCCAGACCCACCGCGGGGCTTTCCCGGGCCGGGCTCTGCTCCCCCAGCTCCGGCCTGGCTCCCCTCTCCCTGCAGTTTTATCCGACGTTATTGCAGATCCAGCCTCCTTCACCAAACAACAGATGCAGCCTCTAATGCAAATATTGCCATTTCCCTGCTGAATTAGCCTTGTCACTTAGCCCAGAAGCTGGCAGCGTTAAGCCAGCTTGCATTTTAATTTGGCCCTGAAGTTACTTATTTCATTATTGATCAAACATAATGCTGAATCAATGTTCATCTTGTTACCTGGGCCATTTCCATGTAATACAGTGATAGCACTGCCTGAAGTTACTCATTCCCTTCCCAAAGTGACTTTACCATAAAATCAATGCTTGTTTGTTACTGATATAAGGCAGCATCCGTGGGATGAAGAGCAAATAAAGTAGTTACACCATCGCGATCTAAAAGTTTGGCGGAATATGAACGTGAACAAAGACTTTGATATTTAAATGTATTTTATGTGTGTCAAAATCATCCTACCCAGGCCGATGGGACAGAAAATCTCAGGCTGCGAGATGACCGGCTTTGATATTGTGGGTGTTGCCATTTGTAAACGCTACCTGGGACCTAATGTGGGACCAGAGTATCATTACACAGCATATGTGGGCTGCAAGCCCTTCCGGGCAGGGACTATTTTGGAAAAATAGTAATTAATACTGTAGTAATTAATGATTGTGTCACAAAATCAGACTCCGCGCAGTGTTCTCTTCAGTGAAGCTGCTGCTCCTTTTCTCTGCTCGTGTTTTCCCCTCCAGCTAATAAGCCCAGTTACAAATTACAAGAGTCTGTCCGCATCCCCGGCTCTCCCAGGCGGCGGCAAGGGACTGCAGGAACACCCCACCCGGGGAATGCTCCGCTTTGCTTCCATGCATACACCAGAATCGTGCCTCGGGTAGCTTTCCCCGACACGTCCAGGCCCCCCACGGCAAATGCACCGTCCCCTTCCCTGAGGAAGAGCCCCTCCCGGCGGTCTGGTTACAAGGGATGAGGGTCGGGGGGGAACCCACCGGGAAGCCGAGGAGGCCCCGTCCCGGGGGAAAGGCCCGGGGGGTGGGTCAGTGGCCAGGGCTGCGGGAGCCCCTGCGGGGAGCTGCTGCGTACCCAGGAACGGAGCAGCGGCAGGGGAACCATCTGCGTTTACCCCACTGGTAAAACTGGAGGAACCCAGGGTATCTTCATCTTGCAAAGGCTGCAGCCCTCCCGTCGGAGCCGGTGTGGGAGCAGCGCGCATCCCGCAGCAGCGGAGGAAGGCAGAGGCTCGGGGCGGGATGTAAGGGGGCTGCCCGGTCTATAAACGCCGGAGTTGCCGGCTGGGAAAGGTGTGACGGAAATGGTGAGGGGAAATTTCCCAGAGTTGTGAGGACTTTGAGTCCACTTCCCGCTGCTGCGGAGAGCGGCGAAAATCCCTGCGGAGCCGGGCTGAGGGCTATGCTGACACCCGCAGGGTACGAAAGCCACTCGCTCTGAGGGGCGATGGAAAGTCTAACCGGGTGCATAAAATACATTGGCATAAAATTAGTGAATCGCACTAACAGATTGTAAATCAACTGAACGGTCAAACCACAGATATGAATCACAAATTCCTATAAAGATTAATGTTTCCTAAGATGCATAGCAATTATGCGTTTTTTTGGACAAAAGCCTTCTCCCAACCTCTCATTCCTGAGCGCTGCATATTTTTTTTTTTTTCTTCTTCTGAAGTCTTTCCAGGTTTCGGTGGGGTTTCTAATGAACGATTTACCAAAGGAAAGGTTTTATTAACACCTCTAAAAACTATAAAGTTTAAAGGGAAGGAGAAAGGGAGTAGATAGGAAGTTGTGTAACACAATATACTGACCTATTGGCAACGGTCCGAACGCAAATCAGCAAAGCACCACAATGGTGGTGATGGTGGGGGGAAAGCATTCAGATTAATGAAAGGGAAAAAACAACACTAAGAGGCCAGCGTTGCCCAGGCAGGGAGGAGGCTGCTCTTCAGAGCTGCGCCCGGAGCCGTGAGCATCTGCTGATGGCCCCTTACCTTTGCTTACCCCCTTGTGGTACACATAGTGCAGTCTGGTCTGCTTAAAAGCGGAAGAAGGAAGAGAACACAGTTACGAGCAGAAAAGGGACATTATTTCTCAAAGAAATTGGCTGGCAGGAGGTGTATGGGACTTCAGGTCTCTCAGGCACTATTTTTCCCTTCTCGCCTCTAAGCAGAACTGGAGATAATAGTTGGAGCTGCAGGTAACGGAGTCTGTTCTTATTCAATTTCCCTAAATGGCCTGGAGAGCACTTAAAAGCCCGGAGAGCTTCTGGCCAGCATTTTCTTATTAACTAATTTCACTTCGATCCTATTAAAGTGTATGCTTTATAACCTTCAAATGAACCTCTCCCTTCTAAACCAAAGCCATTACCTTTTTAATGACAAGGGTAAAGCTTTTAAAAACGTCGCTCCCTCCTCTCCCAACATCACAGGATGCGTGTCACAGGAACAGCCCCGAAGCACCCACTGCGGCCTCCCCCAGCACCCAGGAGTTCCACAGCGGTTCCAGCGCCCGGGAAAGGGCATCGGATCCATGGTCAGAGGGCGCTAGAAAATGGGATTGGGCATGATTCGCTTTATTTCGCTTTGGAAAAATCTCTGCAAAAATGGGTTTTAAATGGATACATATATTTACCATTTCAAACGGGTTCTGCTGTTTCCTGGTAACGCTCACCACAAATGGTAATAATAAAAGATGAAGTATTTTTTCTCACCTTAGGTCATTAGATTTACAGACAAGGTACTAAATCATTTTAGCTCCCCAAACCTTGGGAGGAAAGGCACGCACGCCCTCCCGTCCCCTTCTCTTCTCCTCCCCCTTCTGAAAAAACCTGCAGCGGGAACGGAGACAAAACAGTCTCCGAGGCTCGATAATGTCTCCCTTCAATAGTTAAGCACTAATAATAATAACTTAAAAAAAAAAAAAGTTAACATCGGCTGCAGAGCGTGGACTGTCAGTGGCCTCCTACCAAAGCCTTAACATGAAGGGTCATTAATTGTGTTTTCTTTCCAAATCATATGTCACTACAATTACCAGATTCTGATCAAGAGACTCCTTTCAGATTGATTCCATATGTGATAAGGAATGTGCAGCTTGTTATCTATCTGTCGCCTTGGAATTATGGAAAAGCTTCAAACGTGTAATTTGAAGAGTCTTTTACCCAGCGCTTTGATCTCTCCCTCTTTTTTTTTAAGCTCTTTTTTAACTGCGGCCCTTCTCCTCCTAAACCCACGTGTCTTCCCCTTTCCCCGTTCCCGGTGTGCTGCCCCACGCCGCAGCTGCCACCCGCGTCCCGACACCCCTGGCCCCGTAGGACGCTGTCCGCGCCGCCAGCAGCTCCCCGGCCGCTCCCAGCAGCACCCTCCGACTCCACAGCCGGGCCCCTCAGCACAGAGAGACACACCGGGCCGCCGCCACCTCCCGGGGCCTGTCCCGCTCCCCTCCGCTACAGTGACCTGGCGGAGGGGGGCGCGGCATGAGCGGAGAGCACCGAGGCTGGGTTCCAGGGCACCGGACGGGCAGTATCCGGCCCGGCCCCTCCTGCCGGCGGGGCTGGCCCAGGAGCCGGCTGCGGACTCAGGAAAGCTGCAGCCAGAGGGAGGTTTGGTTTGAGCTCGGCATCGTGTGAGCCAGACGGGAGAGGAGGGAGGCGAGGCCGGGGGGAGGGCGGACGGGCGGGCTACGGGTGTGAGTGTGTGTTTGGGGTAATAAATCAGGAGCCACTCTCCCGGCTTTGACAGGTCCCGGCCAGAAGACACGTGTCTGTCCGGCCAAGGAGCGCTCTGCCGCCCCGGGTCCCCGGGGGGGGCGGCCTTCGTGCCCTGCGCGGCTCTCCCGGCCCTCGGGACGAGCCGGCTCCAGCCTCTCCGCCTCACACCCCTTCGGCTCCGGCACGGCAAATCTCTTTCCCCTGCTCTCAGAGGGGAAGGGGCTTTGCTCCCACTCCCGCCGCCATTCGCACGGCTCAGCCCGGCCCAGCTCCTCGCCCGCTGTCCAGCTCCGAGGGGCCTGTCCCCGCAGCCGCCCTCCCACAAGCCGTTGCCGAAAGTGAGCGCCGTGGACATGGCTCCAACCCCAGCCCTGCCCCGGGAAGCTGTCTCCTCTGCTCTCCTCCCTCTCTCCCCGGCGTTTGCTGTCTTCTCCGCTTTTTTTTTTTTTTTTTATTTTTGTCCTTTTTTGTTTGTTTTTTTTTTTTCTTCCCTCCTCTTCCCACTCCCCCAGCCAAGAACTGCAGCCCTTTAGATTTTTCCTTCCTTCCATTCGGTCCGGCTACGTTTCTTATACATTTCTTGCTCATTAATAAACCATCCCTCACCCTTCCCCTGACCTGGACCCATTCTCACCCATAAATATCTCCTCTCCCGTGCCTCTCTCCAGGCTGTCCCCCGGGATCCCCGCTCCCTGCCCGCCACCGCCCGGGAACAAACTCGTATTGATTGTGCTGCTGCTGAGAAACCACAAAACAACCTCGCCAGATTTGCCACTCCATGCCAAGCTTGCAACCCCAGGAACAAGGGGCCGGTGATGTGGGACACGCGTGGGCCGCACTGCCTACCCGTGAGGGGCTCAGCCTGGCTCTGGGCGACAGCTTCAAACGGCGACTGATTTACCCGATTTTTCGTATTCGCCCCATTTCCCCCCCGGACATGTATTTGTCCAAGTTGTGGTCCCTCGGTGACAGCCCCCGCCCCGCCGGTCGCTGCACACAGCAACCTTTGAAGGAAAACAGGACGTGGGGTTCGCTCACTGTTTTCCTTCGAGTTAAAAAGAAATAAACTTATAAGTGAATTTAATATTGTTATCCCCTGCGCATTAGACTATCAAAAGCAGCGACGTTGAATAAGAAAAATAAATTATTCCAACCCAGAGTTATTTTTGCACTAGATTAGCAGATAGGAAATGCTATAAAGATGAACTTAATACGATTAGAGATGTTTCCTACAGATTTTCATATATTGATTCAGGGAATTTTAATTCTGGATCTTGCTTTGCCGTAATCCGCATTTATTACAAGCTGATACAGTTTTATTATAGCAAGCTATCAAGGTCGATTCCCTTAACTGCATAATCTGACATGAATTTCATTTTTAAAGAAATGTAGTTATAAAAATCCATACTGTGGGCACAGTGGGTTATTTTGTACCTAAATCACATTTTAAAGGCAATAAATCCAGAGAGCATTTAGGAAGAGAGGGGAATATGGTGAATGAGGCTTCTCCAGCCTCAACTTTTCCAAAGACCCTTCAAACTTTATTTTGTGTTAAAGCATGAGGTGTTTGAAGGGGCAGATAAAGGTGGCAGGCTCAGGGCCGCTTAGCCCTGCCCGCAGTCGCAGGTTGCTTGAACTCCTCACGGTCCAGGCAGCTGCGGGAGCGGAACAGAGGGCTCCCGTGCTCGCCACGGACGCTCCGTGATTGCACTGGGTTTTAACTACTCTTAAAATGCTAATTTGCAACTCATACGCTGGTTTCAGAAAAAGGAGGGGGACGAAAAAGCGAAGGAAAAAAAAAAAAGAAAAAAATGGGGGGAGGAAAAAGAAAATAACCAAACCGTAATTTAAAAGGTGTTGATCGTTAAAAAAAGAAAATCTTACTCGGTAATTAAAACGTATCTTGACTTCTTCCCAATAGCTCCTTAGAAGCCTGTGCTACTGCTCCCTTTGCAAGTGTTGCACGTACCAAGTACTACTTTCTAAGCCTTGTAGTGATTCAGAACAGAGGGAATAAGCAAAATGATCATAAATTTCCTAATTAGAGATTTCACACCAAGACAAAAAGGTGTTAATGAGTTTAATTCCAGTGCCTGTCATTGTCCCTTTTTTCACACCACTTATTTACTAATGGCCCAGAGGGCTGCTCCCGTCTCTCCTTTGTTAAGATTTTAATTTGCCTTCTTTTCTGCCTTTGATGTAAAATTGTGACCTACAACTCTTTGAAGTCCCTTATTAGGAGGAAAATTAACTTAGCTTTTCCACTGTATCTGCCCACTGTTAGCCCAGACAAAACGTAGAGAGCTCTTTAAAGATTCAGTACATTAGGAAACTTTTCAAGGTGGCTCTGGAAATGCAAATTTTTTGAGAAAAATCTAATAGACTTCTAAATCTGTATCAGGAGATGTAACCCTCGCCAGGGCCGGATAGGGGGAAGGATAGGAGGGAATATCTTAATAAAGAAAACAAAAGGAACTCCGCCAAGGAAAGGCTGTAAATTTGAAGACCTGAGCAGGGGGACTAGAGAGAGAGGGGGTTTATTTTTAAATGTCACAACTTTTTCCTGTTCCTCCGGTGCGCCGTTCACAACTGACACCCTGGCTTCCTACTCTCTGGTGGGAAGGGGGGGGGGGGGTGTGCTATGAACGAAATTATATCTAAATCTATCTCTATATAATTAGAATACCATGAGGCAGGGTTAAACCTTTGTAAAACACACAACTGATTGGCGATCGCTAAAACGAGATTTGAAAGCAACTCAAATAAAAGATCGCGACGTCAGTAAACAGATTTAGGAAGAAAAAAAAAAAGAAGGAGGGGGGGGGGGGCAGCAGCTAGTGACAAACCCGGCGAGAGCGAGCTTTGGGCATGAGAGAGAGAGGGAAGCAGAGGGAGAGAGAGACTTAAAAGAAATAGGAGGGGCTTGTGAGAGACTAGAAATGTCAATCAGAGCCCAGAGTCCCAATAATCTCAGGCAATCTGTTAGGACCTGACCTGGGTCCACTCAGATCAATAGGAAAACTGAGAGAAGAAAGAAGCGATCGGATCGTTTACCGCGGCGGCCGAAGGCAGGAGGGAGCCCGCGGCCTCCGCGCATCCCCGGTTCCCCCCTCCATGTCCACCGGAGTTTGCAGGAGGCGCTGAAAGTGTGGGCGGCCGGCGAGGGCAAGCGACCCGGCTCCCTCCTCCGCTGCCGGCCCTGCTACTTTCTCCCTTTTCTTTCCCTTCTTCCTCTTTTCTCCCCCCCTCCTCCTTTCCCCCCTCCCCTGCCCCCGCTCCCACACCATGTCTTTCCCCCAGCTGGGCTACCAGTACATCAGGCCGATTTACCCAGCGGAGCGCCCGGGGAGCGGCGGCTCTCGCAGCGGCGCCGAGCTGGCCCCGTCCGGGACTCTCTCCAACGTGCTCTCCTCCATGTACAGCGCGCCCTACGCCGCCGCTGCTGCCGCCGCCCAGAGCTACGGAGCGTTCCTGCCCTACGCCGCCGAGCTGCCCATCTTCCCCCAGCTGGTAAGAGGCTCCCCAGGGGCTCGCCCTCGCTACCCGGGACGCTCCGGTCGGGGGCAGCCCGGGCACGGTTAGCGCTGGGGTTAGGGCAGGGGGGCCGCCGGGAGGGCTGTCAGGGGAGATGGGGCTTTATCGCTACCCGACCCCGGGAGCGCGGCCGAAGAGGGGCAGGGCCGGTGCAGCAACCCCGCGCCCCCTCCTCCGCCCGGAGGGCTTGACAGCTGCGGTGACCGGCCCCGGCTGCCGGCGGCCCCGCTGCTCACACGCACCTGGGGAGCCGGGTCTTCCCCTACGGGCTCCGCGCCTCGGTCGCGGCGTAGCCGGCGCGGCCCTGGCTGCCGCAGAGGGGCCGGGGAGTTCCGCGGCGCGGGAGACAGCTCGGCCTGGCGTTCGCGCTACCCGTAACGGCGGCGGGATGGAGGGGCCCCGGGCCGGGCCCAAAGCACCGTCTTATCCGGGCCGCCCCCTTCCCTCTTGCTGCAGGGCGCCCAGTACGAGCTGAAGGAGAGCCCGGGGGTGCAGCACGCAGCTTTCCCCCACCACCACCCCGCCTTCTACCCCTACGGGCAGTACCAGTTCGGGGACCCGTCGCGGCCCAAGAATGCCACCCGGGAGAGCACCAGCACCCTCAAGGCCTGGCTCAATGAGCACCGGAAAAACCCCTACCCCACCAAGGGCGAGAAGATCATGCTGGCTATCATCACCAAAATGACCCTCACCCAGGTCTCCACCTGGTTCGCCAATGCACGGCGGAGGCTCAAAAAGGAGAACAAAATGACCTGGGCCCCCCGAAGCAGAACGGACGAGGAGGGCAACTCCTACGGGAGCGATCACGAGGGGGAAGAGGACAAGCGGGAGGACGAGGAAGAGATCGACCTGGAGAACATCGACACCGAGAACATCGAGAGCAACAAGGACGACCTGGAGGACGAGCTGCAGGACGCCGACCTCCTGCACTCCGACTCCAAGACCGACTCGGAGGGCTCCGAGGGCTTCGAGGACCTGCCCAGCTCCGAGGAGCGCTTCGTCAAGGCCGCCGAGGGGGAGCCGCACCATCTCCGCCACCACCACCTCCACCACCACCATCATCACCATCACAAGTGCGAGCTCCCCTCCGCAGCCCTGGAGCCCCTCAAGCCGCCCCTGCAGCAGCCGCACCACCAGCTCTCGCCCCCCTCCTCTGCCTCTTCCTCCGCCGCCTCCTCCCCGACGGACGGCGCTTTGGCCGGTACCCTGCCGAAGCCCAAGATCTGGTCGCTGGCTGAGACGGCCACCAGCCCGGACAACCCCCGCAAGTCTCCCGGCGGCGGCTCCCCGCCCGCAGCCGCCCCGCTGCCGCTGCCCCCTCCGCCGCCGCCCCACAGACTCGTCTCCTCTTGCCCCCTGAGCAAGTTCTCCAACTGGACCAACCGCGCCTTCCCGGCCCACCACCACCATCACCACCCGGCCCCCCACCCGCTGGCCTTACTGAACACCCCCCACCTCCTGGGGCTGGGGGCAGCTCCCGCCGCTCCCCCCGCCGCCACCTTCCCGCGGCCCGCGGCCCAGGCGCAGAGCGCGGAGCCCGCCGGAGCAGGTGACCGCTGAGGGACGCGCCGGGGACGGGTTCGGGCCGGCAGCCACCGCGGGGGGTTCGGCGGTGCTGCGCGGAGCGGCGCGGAAGTCCCCGCCGGTTTCTCACGGTGGCCCCTGCCCGGCGCAGCCGTCGGGGAGCAGGTGGTGGAGGGCGGGCGGCCGCGGGGCCCCCTGGTGCAGCGGCGGCGACAGGGGGGGCCTCCGCCAGGTTAGTCTCACACCCCCGGCGTTACCTTCCTCCGACGGATGTAACTTTTGTTGCTGTTGTTGTTGCTGCTCAAATCGTCTTTGCGGAAGGACCGGGCCGCAAGGCTTGCTCCGGGGTCGGTTCGGGTTCTCTTTGACGGTCACTCCTGCAGCAAAGCAGTCGCTTTGTCGTATTTGCAACTTGCCGAGAAGAGATCTTAAGTCTAGAGGCTTAATTCAGGGATAGGAGTGAATAAAATGGGGATTTAAAATGGGGATTGTAAAGGAACACTTTTTTTTTCTGTGTTTTTTTTTCCTTCTCTTTTTTTTTTTTTTTTTTTAGATCGATGTAGTGCCTTGGAAGTAGAGAAAAAGTTAATAAAGACAGCTTTCCAGCCAGTGCAGAGGTGGTAAGGGATTGCTTCCTCTGTCTTCTAAGGATATGTAGAGGGAGTTGTAAACGGTTAGCTTATTTTCTCCGCGTCTTTAGTTCTTCTCCCAGAGCGGTTTCTTGTCCTTCTTCTGCGTGTGTGGTGGGTTATTCCGATACGCTCTTTTTCTTTCCTTTGCCGTCCGCTCCTCGGGAGCGATGCCCGCGGGCCGGCCGACCCGCGCCCGGGGCCTCGGCTCCTGTGCTTGGGGCCGGGGGGAGAGACCCTGGACGGCCGGTGCCCGCCTCCCCTAGCACCGGAGAAACGGTGCGGAGAAACGCAGCAGCGCAAAGGCGGCGGGACGGAACCGGCTATAATAATAACAACAATAATAATAGAAGCTAAAATAAGCCCCAACGAGTAGAAGACCTGAAGGGGTTGAACCTTGCCGCTCTGAGCTTGGCCTCGCAGCCACTGAAATCAATTGCTCGCCTGATGAGCAAAACCACGGGGATATTCGTAGCTAAATAAATTTGCTATAAGTCACTCCGAAAACTTTATATATTTAGAAACCTATTTTTAAACCCATAACAACAACAACAACAAAACCAGCCCTACCTACAGTTAGAAATACCGTGCCAGCCCCATATGACTAGAAATCTTATTAAATACATATTTTTTTTCTGTGTCATTTTTTTCCAGGCCCCAGAACCAACTTGATGCCGCTATGGTTCTATCGGCGTTGTCATCATCATAGTTAATTTTTTGTAATTGTTGTTGTAATGACTGTAAAAACAAAACAAAAAAAATAATCTCTGTATAGTTACAACTTGTAAGCATGTCCGTATATTAAAACTAAAAAGGAAAAAAAAAATATACCCGCTTCTGTACTACCACCTGGATTAGCTGAGTATGTGAGGTTTTTTGGAAGTCCAGTGAGAAATAGGTGTTTCGATTTTTTTTTTTTTTGGTTGTTGTTGTTTGTTTTTGTACATACAGTAAAAATGTACATACGTGTGAACCAAATTGTACAAGAAAGTATATATTTTTGGCTAATAAATAAACTGTTGCCACTTTGACTACACTCTCTGCTCCCACCCATGGAGTTATTTTTGCCGGCCCACCTCTCCCTCCGCCGCTGGTGCCTGTTTAGTCCGCGGCGGGAGGGGCTCGTCCCGGTCCGGGTCCGTCTCGGTCTCGGTCTCCCTGCGGCAGGGCCAGCCCAGGGTCGCTCCTCCTGCGGCGGCAGCGAGGCCGAACGCTGGAGCCACAGCGCCCCCTGCAGGTGCCGGTGCCCCGCGGTCGGTGATGGCGGGGCGGCTGCGCTGCGGTCAACGTGGGCAGATCCGTGGGCAGTGCCCTGCAGCCGGGACGGCTCCGGGACCCAGCCCGCGGCGAGCCGCCGGAGATCCATCGTCTGCCCCGAACACCTGGTTACCAGGTGCCAGTCTCCAGCCCCCTCGAGGCGCGGAAGGGGTTAACCGAGAGGAAACTTCGGGGGTCGGCAGTGCCGTAGTGGGGCTGCGGTATTTCCTTCTCCTGCAGCCCAAGGGGCAGATTTTAGGGGCTCTCCCAGGGCCCGCCGTACCGTTGAAGGAGACAGGGCTGTCAGGGACAAAGCGGGTTGCCCGGGGCCGGCGAAAGACATGTCCCTCCTTCCCGCGGGTTTGCACACAGCGGGAGGCACCTTTGCTGCGCTCCGCGCCACGCCGGGCGGTCTGCATGTCCTGCGTCCCCCGGTCCCGGGAGATGCCGGCTGCCCCTCCACTGGCCTGCCTTGAGAGCTGCATCTTCCTCGCCGCCGCATTTCCTCAACAAAATGCTGGAAATGAGCCCTATACAGAAAGGTCCGGCAGCTCCAGGCGGCGGTGGCTGCTGGCAGGGGATGGAGGAGGACCCGGGCCCCGCGGCCTCGCAGTCAACTGAAAACCATGCCAGGGGGACTGTTGCTGGGGGAAAGGGGCTGCCCCCCTTCCCTTCATCTCCCTTCCTCTATTCCCCATTTACCATCAGTCGGTACCTGCGGACGGCTGCTCTCGTCCCGCACCCCCGCTGGAGGGATAGCCTGGGCAGGCAGGACGGGCAGCCCGGCTCCATTTGGCTTCTGAGCCCAGGCTCTTCCTTAGCATCTCCGGGGAGGATGCCCCCTCCCATCCCCCTTTCTTCTCCTTACAGGCCTGGCAATGGCATAATTACAGAGGTAGTAATTAAATACCTCGTGCTTTTCTCGTTTGGATGACAGACCCTGTGAAGGGGGAGGGTGGTGGGAGCTAGGAAGCAAGAGTTAAAATGAAGTTAAAGTACAAACAGAAGCACATAGCTGACATGCTTCAAGTTTAGACAGTACAAGATATGCAAATGCACAGGGCTGTGCGGTATTGACATTTTGAGGTCATAGTGATAGGAATGTATTATTTATAGGATTGGGTTGCACTAGGCCGATAAACTACATTTTAAATCCTAGGCGTTTATAAGTGATAAGATTTATATAAATGTTTACAGTATATATATGCGTGCGTGTATACACACGTTTTACATGCGTGTTTTAAAATTTCCCGACTAATATTCTTCCTGGTAGACACTGGGGTGGGGAGAACCCTGGCCTGGTGCATGCCTGCAGCCTCTCCAGCTGTGGGTAGTGGTGGATGGCTGCAGCCGAGCCAGCCCTGGACCTCTGGGGAGGCCAGGGAAGGGACCCCCAAAGTTGGCATCAGTGTTGGCATCTCTCCTTTCTCCCCACCCTATCCCCTTCCTCTCCCCATACGTCCTCTCTGGCCACAGCTCACCCTTGAAGCGGTGTTTGCCTTCTCACTGCCTGTCCAGCTGTTTTTCTGCCAGGAACTGTTCCCCTCTTTCGCTCCGATAGGCTCCTGAAACGAGGGTAAAACTCTGTGGGTGGGTGGTTAGAAAACGGATTGTTTCTCATGTAAATTTTGCCCAGTCCCTCTGCACTTTGTATCCCTGCGTTTCCCTTAGCCAGTTCTTGCTGAAGGAAAAAAAAAAAAAAGGTTAATAACATGTAAAATGGGAGGGGTCGGGGGAAAGAAAGCTAGAGGCAAATATCCACATCCCCTTCCTCTGGACATCCTGGTGGGTTTTCCATAGAAACTTTCACACAGTGGCCAGACAGATGCTTAAAAAGGAGGGAAGAAATAATGAGACCACAATGGGAAAACAATTGCATCCCCAGCTTTCCGGCTCCATTAAAGGCTCCTTTGCTTTTGCAGCAGAGACCCTGAGCTCCCTGTCCCCGCAGAGCCCTCTCCCTTCGGCCTGAGCGGCAGAGATGCTCCAGCAGAAGCGGCAGCTGTGTGGTAGCCATGGGAAAGCAGCCCCTTTGGATTCTGGAAGTGAGAACTTGGTTTCCCTGCGGGGGGAAAGCAGCCTTTGTGCTTGCCTGGTTTCCCTAATGTGGAGAAAATTCTCATTAATTTTGTGAGGAAACATTTTGTTATGCATGTTTCAACAAAACATTAAAAATCCTACGCATATTTTTTTGTTTTAGAAATCACTCTCACAGCTTGACAGCCTCGATGGAGCCCCAGCCAGGCCTGCCCGCGACGGTGCAGAGAGGCCTCTCTCCCTCTCCCTCTGTTGGCTGCTCTTTTCCTGTCTAATCAATTATCTCCCTCGCTAGTCCTTCTCAAAGGTGAGAGCTCATTATGCATATTCATAAATCACAGCTCCCAGACCTGACACTGATTGATGTAATCATCTCCCTCTCGCTCCCCGTCTGCGCGGGGCCGGAGGACGCGCCGATGAGGAGGAGGAGAAGGCAGGAGAAAGAGACTTCCAACTTGTCAGACCCACTTCTGCGGGAAGCCGCTGGCCGGGTGTAGCGGCCATGTCAGCCTTCCCATTCACTGCAGCCAGTGCCCATCACAGCCTGGGGACAGTACGGGAGAAAGCCCTGTGAGCTGGGAAATGCCAGTGAGCTGCCTCCAGTACAGCCAACTGTTCTGCAGGCAAAATTGCAAGAGTAAGGGAAAGATCCAGTGCAATTTCCACAGTCAGGCATCAGACTATGTGTTAAAATACATCCCCCCAAATCTTTCACATCAGCTAATGTGCTTGCTGATATTTTCCTTAGATAGTTAAAGCTGGTTTACCCCCTGTAAGAACAAACATATTCTGTAAGGAGTGTGATCATGAGTATTTAGAGATGTGAAATAGAATATATATTCACTATTATCCTTGCAGCTGTCCTCAGTAGCTATACTGTAAACAAACAGAAAAGTTGTGAGCGGTGTAAGTTCCTGCTGCAAGGGTCTGGAGGAAAAAGGACTCCTTCAGCTACTACCACCAGCTTTCCGGGCAGCAACGTAAATCTCGGCTGTGACTTGTTTCCCAAAGTGTGCTTCAGCACAGCAGAGTTCAAGATGCTGTTCTGACTGTGTGGTTTACCTGTATAGTTAGTACTTACACTTTTAAAATACCTTCTTTTATCACTTTGATCAGAACCATCAGTGTACTAAAGTAATAATAATAAAAAAAGCCTTAGAAATCATAATAGGATACAAATCAAAGGGAGCCCTAATCAAGTACTTTTGAGAGTGTTATCTTCCTTGTTAACAAATGGTAATAAGAAAATTAAGGCTTATAGCTTCCTTGTGTTTCATCTAAGAAAACCAATAATGATATCAGATGTTCTTTGTTTCATTTGTTTGAATGTAAAGCAGAATAATGAAGAACATGTACCTTCTATGGCTTCATTTGCTTTATGGGTATTAACCATTTAGGATGTCGGTGAAATTATGGATGTGCAGAATGAGGACAAGACTGTGCTGCCACCCAGGGTTTTGAGGCTCATCTTTGCTGCAGTCAAGACAACATTTTTTTTTATTAAATGCTGAAATTGGAACAAAGCAACAATGGCTGCTTGCTAACTGTGCATGTCCAACAGGCCTCTTTACTATTCAGCAAATGGAAGATATTAAACAACATTTTGCTTAAAGGTACACTGAGGCCATTTCCATTAGGACATGGTGTCATTCATTTATTCACATGTTAAGTGGATGTCCTTGTGGCTAATGAGTAATAATCAACAGTGACTCCACTTTATTCCTTTGCTCCTAGCAATGTTAAATACTCTGATGGAGTCTCTTTGCTGACACACTAGAGAATATGGTTAAAAAGTGCTAAAGGACATTTTCAGCGTAGAGCAGCCACATACACACATGCTGGAAATAGCACTTTTATTGCAGTCTATTCTATTAGACTTTGTTCCTGTTTAACACATGGCATTTGCAAAATGCTGGTATTTATCTGAAGGTACTTTATGCCTTAAAATCTGGGAACTCTCTCAGTTTGAGAGTCAATGTGGTTATTGCTGGGAGATGAGATCTTGTCCAGCTGGTTTATAAAAAAGTCAAACCACACCTTATGGCACCTTCTGTAGACTGTGTATGTGACCTCAGATAAATATTTAGTGGAGCAGTGATTTAGGACAAAACCTTTCCTGCAAAAAAATGTAGCTTGACATTTATTTTCTAAAATAAAGTAACTCCCATACCAGCTAATTAATCCATTTTATTGCGTCAACCACCACAACTAAGTAGGCTAATAAACTATATACTAATATATTTTTTTTTCCTTTACATGACTGCTTACACTGGGGTCTGCAGCTTGGTTGTCTCCTGTGTCAATTCCTAAAGTCTGAAAGGTATAAATGAATCATTCTTGGTAATGATTAAGCTTAAGTTAGAAATAAAATATGTCAATCAATCTGGTTGGAAATGTTCCTGCTGTCTAAGTTGGTTATGCAAAACACTTTAAGGTGTGTAGGCATGCTCAATTAGGTCAAGGGATCCGATGGCACTCCTAGCCACAAATGTGTGTCACTTGGATTCCTCATTATTTTTAGCACTGGTGAAAATTCATGTCAGTAGGCCAGCTAGGCAGGCTGGAATAAAATTACTTACTGGATATGCATAAACTTAAGGTTTTATTTTAATACATTAATATATACTTATTTTCAAGCAAAACAGTGAAAATATAATCTGTCCCTTTCTCTCAAATATGTGAATCTCTCAATTGAATTTCTCAGTGATCATTAGTATAATTCACACTAGAGTATGCAATACT